GACAGCATCCAGCTTGGAACCTCCAAAAAGCCAAAAATGCCCTCAGAAGCCAGCTAATAAAGATCTCCACTCATCTCCCAGAGAGAGATGGGCATTCACCTGAACCCGTCTCAGTATCTGAGTCACAGCAGTTTTTTCCCTCATAGCCCAGCCTGTACCTTTGCCCACCACCCCCTGCAGGGCCTTTTACTGGCTTCTGTGGCTACAGCAGCAGGCCCAGTGAGAACCACTGGGGGCAGGACTGGTTCGGGTCAGTGGCATGAGCTGCCTGTGTGGGCATGAGTTCTCTGGCATTGGTGGAGCCCAACTCAAGGCTAGTAAGAGCCTGCCAGGGATGTTGCAAAGAGGATGGGGAAGATGGAGGAATTAAGAAGGACCTTGACAGCTCCAGTAGTTCATCTGTGGGCCTTATGGACGTGTGGCAAGGCCCTAATTTTACCCTCACATTTACTCTAGGAAGCTTACTTTAAGAAGCACAAGTTCAACACGGTTCCAGGTGTCCAGCTTAAGAATGTGAACAGGTGGGGTCTGGGGACAGGGTAAGGGGGAGGCTGTCTACAAGTCCTGATGAATCAGTCCCTGACAGTCTCTTCCAGCCCTGGGGCCCCATTCTCACGTGGCCCTTTGCCCTGCCCAGTACTGCCCGTGATACTGTACCGAGTGGCTGTTCTAGCCCCTTAACTACTTCTTCTTCCCCTTCAGTCTGAAGAAGGAAGCTTATGAAGTTGAAATTCACAGGCTGCTCAGGTATGGCCTAGGGCCTTCGGGGGTGTGTGGCCGGGAATAGGGAGGAGTGAGATATGTGTCTTGGGTCTATAATTTCATAAAATGAAAGTGCAAGATCCTTTGAATTTCAAGATGGCAGCAGCAGAGTATTAAGTACAAGGCCCTTTCTAAGCATGGGGCCCTGTACAGCATTCCTATAAAGCAGGCCTTGTCTTGGCCTAACTCTCTTACTCCCCAACTGAAGTGAGGCTGAGATCTTGGATCACAGCAAGAACCCTTGTGAAGACTCTTTCTTGCCGGACACAGAGGGCCACACCTATGTGGCCTTTATCCAAATGGAGAAAGATGATGACTTTACCACCTGGACCCAGCTTGCCAAGGTAGCCCAACACACCCTGCCCTGGAGTACCCTTCTTCCCCTGCACACACTACCCCAAGATACAGGGAGCCTTTGTTCTGGAATCTTCTACTTCAGACCTTCTCTTCATACCCTCAGATTCCCCTCTCCAGTTATCTTGTGCAAATCCCCATTCTAGAAGAATTCAAATTGAAGAGGCTGCTGAGGGCGGGTAGGGGCTGGACCAAAGGGTCTTCTGTGTCACCTTCTCACAGCGCTCTGACCTATACCTTCCACTCATACTCCTAGTGCCTCCATATCTGGGACCTGGATGTGCGTGGCAACCACCGGGGCCTGTGGAGGTTGTTTCGGAAGAAGAACCACTTTCTGGTGGTGGGAGTCCCAGCCTCCCCCTACTCGTGAGTGACTCTCCCTGTGGAATGGGGATTTAGTGAGGACATAACTAATAAATACCTCTTCCCTAATACAGTCTCATATTATCCTCACAGGGTGAAGAAGCCACCATCAGTCACCCCAATTTTCCTGGAGCCACCCCCGAAGGAGGAGGGGGCCCCAGGAGCTGCAGAGCAGACATGAGACCTCCTCCAAGACCCTGCAGGGCTGGGTACTGTGTACTCCCAGGCAGGCTAGCCCTTCACCCCATCCTGTAGGATTTTGTAGGCACTGGCAGGGGCTGAAGCTGGTTTATTTTTAACATGAGACTTAATTACTAACTTCGAAGGGAGGGTTTCCCTGCTCCAACCTCCCTGTTCCCGAGTTAGAGGTCTATTTATTTACTTCCTTGTGTTGGGGAAGGGCAGGATGGTACCTGGGAAACACTGGGATCTCTGGGCAGCTGATCCTGCTCTTTATACACCTCCTCCTCCCAGGCCTGACTCAGAATTTAACCTATTTATTGACTGTCCTAGTGACTGAGGGCTTTGGAAATGGGCCAAAGCCTTGATTTCTTTCTGGGCTGAGGTGCTGCCCTGAGGGTGGGGTTGGCTCTTACTCAGGAAACTGCTGTGCCCACCCCATGGACAAGCCCATCAGGGGCCTACATCTGACACAGACACATTTGGAGACCCTCAAAACACTGGACCATGCCTCTTCTCAGCTGCCTCTTTGTCCAGGTTTCCAAAGCTGAATAATGTGGCCATTGATTAAAAAAGGAAAAAACCTCTGGGGATGTGTCTTGTGACTCTGTGTGTGTGAGAGAGAGAGAGAAAGAAAAAGAAAATATAGTCATGATAAATAGATAACAAGATTTCTTTACTGTCCTGCACAGGGTTTACCTTCCATTTGAGGCCATTTGACCACCAGGGGATGCCCAAGCTCCCCCACATGACAGTCTGGTCCTAGCCCTACCCCATTTGGGGATGAGCTTGGAGTAGCCATCCCATCTCCCTTTTCTGATGTTTAACCACCAGACAAGCTCCTGCTTAACTTGTCTGGGCCAGGCACCTGCTCCCAGAGATGGAGGAGGAGGAAGCAAAAAGGGATGCTTGGGGTTGAGGGAGAGGATGGGAAGAAGGCAAGTGAGTATGCTGGGGGAAAGAAGTATATCGGGAAAGAAGTGGGTGAGACAAAAGCTGGGCTGTGGGTGGAGACTTAGGAGACATGGAGAATGATTTCTCTGGCCTTTGAGTCCCTTCCAACTTACACTGACCCTGTAGGATAGAGTAGAACTGCTCCATAGGGTTTCCAAGTGTGTGTTTAGTCTTTAAAGAAGGAAGCAGACTGCTATGTTATTTTGCTGTGGAACAGCTGGTGGGTTTGAACTACTGATCTTACCACCAGGTCTCCTTCTATGTCCCTTAAACCAAAACCAAGCCCACTGCCATGGAGTCAACTCCTACTCATAGCAATCCTGGAGGACAGAGTAGAACTGCCCCGTAGGATTTCCAAGGCTGTAAATCTTCAGCAGACTGCCTTACGTTTTTGGGTTTGAACCACTGACCATTTGGTTAGTATTTTGTGAGTATTTTGTAGTATTTTGTGTTTTTCTGGAAATGAGGGCCATGGTTTTCATCAGATTCTCACCCAGTCAGTAACCCAAAGGAAAATCTGAGGTAGTAATATAGAAGCACTGTGGATGAGATTGCCCAGAGGGAGTGGGTGAGCTAGCCTAAGGCATGGGGTGGATGACATTTAAGGGATTTGCAAGGGACTTACAATAGGGAGGGAGAATATAGACCACCTCTTGAGAAGGGGTCTGCTGGCTGAGCACTGATAGGGTGTGCCTGCTGAACTCATTACATAAACCTATGACTAAGGTGGCAGGAACTGACTGGAATTCTTGCCCTTTTGCCTGCTCTCTGTCCCGACTGGTACCTGGAACCCAACTGCATGTCACACCTGGTATATGGCCTGGGCATTTCCCGTCACCCTGACGCCCTCAGTGTTTGCTGGAGCTAGAGATAGTGCTAAAGGTGGCAAAACAGCCAGGTTAAAGAGCAGTTCAATTAGTCTGCGATGAGGTGGAGGCCAGCCCTAGGCAAACAAATCCCCTGCAGCCTCCACATGGACAGCTGGCGGAGGGGCAGTGTGATGGGGAGGGTGATAGGGGTTGATACTTCTTCCTGCCTACCCCCAGTGGGCTCCTGGTGTGGACCTCACAGATTGACTCTCAGGAACAGATACTCTGTTCCTTTCTGGGGGGGATAGTACTGGGCTGCTCTTGAAAAGCCTAGGAAGAGGGATCAAGGGGAAGAGTGGAGGGTGACTGGTTGAGAGCAAACAAAACGTCTTCCAGCCAGCCATAGCTTCCTTCCTTAGCACTGTCATTCCTTCAACAGTGATCAGGTCCATATCTGAGACATTCAGGCCAGGTATCCTTTCAAGTGGAACTGTCACCATGTTAGCCAGAACCACACCAGGCTCTGAGTCAAACAGCCTGGGCCCAAATCCAGGCTTAGCTCTTCACTGAAGGTTGTGCGACCTGGACAAGTCACTTGGCCTTCTTGGCCCCAGTGTCCTCATCTGGAGTTGAGGTGGTAAAAAATACAAAATCAGGGCTGTAAAGCAACAGCAGGTAAGCCAAGACCAAGAATAAATTAAGTTCTTTCTGAGATTCCTAAAGCAGGGACAGGAACTTTGCTTGTGGAGTAGCCTAACTGGACCCTCTGATGGGCCCTCTGGGGCTTCCCAGAGCCTAAGGAGTGATCCTCATTGCCATGTTCTCTCCTCCCCAGCTTGGGCAAAAACTTGTTATTTTCATAGCTTTCCAGTCCAGTGCCCCCATCCAAGAGGACGTGGATTCAGCCAAAGTCCTCCCATGTTAAAAGAGGGCAGGCTGGCCCAGCCCCCACGTCTTCAATGCCCTCTTGGCTATTCCCATAGGCTTTCTCCCAGGCCTGGAATCCAGATGAAGGGGAGAAATAGCCACCCATCCCCACCTCATTTCCTTCTGCTGCCTTTCCAGTTAATAGCCCTAAAGGGATCTGAGGCTAGTTCACACAAGATGAGCTCCTCACTCCAAGGATATACAAAAAGAATCCAAATAGAAATATTTTAATTGATTTATAAACTCTGAAGTCTCTTCCACATATCCATCCAGTGGCTCACCTAATTTCACATATTGCCAGGTTGTAGGACACCTTTCTCTTATCCCCCAGTAGAGTACTGGGTTCACCAAGAGGCTTCCCTTGCCAGAGAAGGTGTCAAGGGTTTAAGGAACAGACTGGGAGAATGGGCAAGAGAACTGGCTACCTTAGAGGCTCTGGGAGAGGTGGGCTTCAACCTCACCATTGGAAGGAAATATCAGGGACAACCTGAAAGGGGTGGTCCCTATTTAGTCCCAAGTCCGGAGCAGCAAGGCTGGGTCCACCCTGGCCCAGGTAACAACAGTATTAGCTCCTGTCCCACCCTTGGTGGTGCCAGAGTGCCTCCTTCCAGTCCCCACGTGGCAGGAGTGGTGGCGGCGGCAGAAGTAGACTTATTTCAGATTGCAGTACAGATACATGGACACAATCATGGCAGCCAGCTGGTGGGGAAGAACAGGGAGAGATGAAGGGGCAAGATCAGATGATCGGCTCCTGAAACTTTAGTCTCCTGCTTCCCAGACAGCCCTCTTACATGGAGCTCTGTTAGAAGTCTGTCATCTCCAGAAAGGCCTCAGTGATGGGTCAAACAGCTTCTACCCCAGGGCCCAGTGGGAGTATTCCAGCTCCAGCCTTCTCATCCCCTTACCTCTAGGGCCCCAATTCCAGCTGCCACACCACCCACAGTGACTGCATTGGTTCTGATGTCATAAAGCAGCTGATTGAAGCAACCCTTGGGGGAGAGAATAGAGCATCCATAGTCAGTAGCTGCCCCCCAACCCCATTCAGCACTCAGAGGCTAGCAAAGAAGCCTCCTGCCCTTCCCTGCCAGCTCCGCACCTGCACAGCATCCTTCTTAGCCTTCTCCATGGTGCAGGTACTATTGGCTGTGGTGTTGGTGTTGCAACAATATGGGGGAAAGGCATTGTTTTCCATGAAGTAGGGAGAGCCCTCAAAATCTGTGTAGTTGGTGAAGCCACAGCACTTGAGCTAGAGACAAGAAGGGGAGTCAGTGGGGCCTTGCCTCCTTCTCCTTTCCCAAAAAATCTCCCCCAGCCCACCTTACCCCTTCCATGGTGCTGTTCCACACTTGGGAGAAGTCTGGCTGGTGACCATAGTCTTTCTTGATGGCAGGCACAACTAGCAACGTCAGGAAGTTCTCAGCCTGGGTTGGGACAGGCCATTGTTTAGGGGCTGATAGGGAAGGTAGCCATTCATAGGCCATGACCACTTTCAGGGCTTTGCCTAATCTGCCCCCCTTGCCCCATGCCAGCTCCTCACCATTGTGGTGTACACCAAGGCAACCACAGCAGCTGCAACCTCAGCAATGAAGATGATGAGGAGGATGGAGAAGAACTGAGTGGGGAACAAGGGTCTGAATTTTAGTGAGACAATCCTTTGTGCCCTCCTTGCCCTAGCCCACCCCCTGTAAAAATGAGGCAATGTCCCCTTTTGCTGAGGCCCCTGGAGTCCAGAGCAGGGTTTGGGGATCTCCAGGGCCTGGTGTCAAGGGTAAGGGGACCCTGGGCTTTGGTCACAGGCTTCTGGAACTGGGTTTTACACACCATCATGAGGACACACTTGTTCTCCGTCTGAGCACCGTAGCAGCCCAGGAAACCAAGAGCAAGGAGCACAGCACCGGCCGCAATGAGGAAGTAGCCCACGTTGACAAACTGCATGGCACTGGACGACAGTGGCCCAAAGATCTTCAGGAAGGATGCCCCATCAACTGACACCCAGATGCCCACAGCCAGCAGAGCCACACCACACAGCTGGGAACAGAGAGGTTAGACAGGACTTGAAACAATGTTGGCAAGCAGCTCCCTACGACACAGTTGAGACAAGGAGATTGGAACCTAGAAAATTTCTCCTTTGTAGGCTAACAAGTCTAGAAACTCATCCTGCAGGGAAGGAAACATCCTCTAGAGCCAGAAAGATGGGAGCTGGGACATCCATGGTCAGCGCTATGCTGTACACCTGGGCAGATATAAATGGAACTGGGGGAGTTCTATAAATGTCCATAATGGTGGAGAGAGAGGCAGGGCTCTTTCTCATATACTGCCAGGTCCCTGCTACAGAGCTAGGAATGGAACAGGCAGATAAGGACCCAGCCCCTTTCCTTTTCATGCTATGGGTGCCTGGAACACTTCTGATAGGATAGGCGGGAACAGGGCACTGAGCAGGCAAAACAGTCACCATAGCAACAAAGGCGGGGCTGAAGTTTACACCTGCTCCTAACCTTGGAGAGTGTGGTAGTTGAGGAGAAGGGACATCAAAACTAGGCCCCATTTGGCTTGCTGCCAGAATATGATTCCAGGCCTGCCCATCATCCGACCTAGACCTCGCCTTGCTTCACAAGAGGAAACTGAGGTACCAGATGGAGAGTATAGCCAGAGCCTCTCTTAGAGGCTCTTCTGCTAAATTCCAAACCTCAGAGAGAATCTGCAGACCAGGTGGGGAGGTCATTGCCCACCTCCCACAGCTCTTGGATCAAAGCTTTGCTGACTCAAAATCTCAGCAGGTGAATCAGCTTCACATGCCCTTGGTACCCAGATCCCATCTTCCAGCTACAGAAACTGAGGCTGAAACCAAGAGTGAGGTGGCAGATTGTGGCTGGGTCCCAGGCATGTTTGCCTAAGAACAGAATGCTGGGCTTCCAGCCCACAGGATCAAGTTTCAAGGAGTCTCAAACCTGCCCTACCTTGCCCTGCCCAGCCTGGCAAGGCCTAGGCAACAGGGGCCAGATATCAAACCGGATTTGCCTTTAACCCCCTCGAGCCAGAGCCCCTGATCTCCAACTCTCTGGGATCTTGTTGCCCCTTCAGATACATGAATAAAAGACTAGCTCCTGGAAGCCCAAGGCACAGACCACGTCAGAGTCAGTCTACCTACCACAGCCCAGTGTCTCCAAACTCATCTACATGCCAGTGTTTTCATCCTCATTGTTTACTTACTATAAGCCACTCTAGTATGGTTCTGAGATCTCTGGTGACATCCTGTGCTAAATCCAGTGGCTCCTCAGGGCTTAATCCCCTTTGACCTCATATCTCACTCTCCTTGCTTTCCTTCCTCCTCTCCCACTGCTGCTTCTCCATCTCCTTTGTGGTAACTATTCCTCTGCTCATCCCTTGTATGTTGGTATTTCCCAAAATTCACTGTCCTTGAGTACTCCCACCTACACCCAGGTTTCATTGACCATCTATGTGCACACGACTTTCAAATATCCATGTCCAGCTCAGATCTGAGTTGCACCCCCTTCTGTTTATACATGTACCTTTGGGACATCCCCCAGATATTCATGTCAGAGACATGGTCATCATCTCTAAGACCTCTGTCTCCCTTGCCCCTTACCCCTCAGCTACCATTTGAGAGCTTTGTCCTTTGTCCACTTCTCTGCATCTCCAGGGTTCACGCCTCATTGCTCAGCTTCCTTGAACATGCCCTATGCAATCTGTTCCTGGTTTTCTTAGCAGTATCTGGTTTCATTACCTCTAGGCCTTTATGCTTGTTTTACACCCCCCTACCTCCACCCACTAGTGCAAATTCCCAGCCTCAGTTATTTCCTCCAGGAAGCCTTCTTTGACCAGACTGGGTTCAAGTTCCTATTATGGGTCCCCATAGTTCCTGTGCCAAGCCCTGACATACTTGTATGCCTTGCTGGATGTGAGATACTTAAGGGCAGAGAAAAACCTTGCTCATCTGCGACCCCAGCACTCACACAGAGTTATAGACAATAAATGTTTATGGAATGAATAAGCGCTGTTTGAAGTAGACCCTCTGTTCTTGGCTGGGCTCTTTGATGTCCCTGGGCCCTCTCCCCTTTCAGCTTCCCAGAATACAGAGGCCACTGAATTCCCTTCTACACTAAGCGACCATAAGCAAACCCCTTCCCCTCTCTACCTTCCCAATACCTACAAAAAGCGGACAATGAGCTAGTGTGCTCCATTCTACCTTGCTCTAATCTTAGGCTGAAGCTTCTTGGAGGGGAGGGGATGCCACTAAGCATCTCCACTCCTCCCTGTGCAGCAGCCTGGCTACTACTGGGATCAGGACTCAGCATTTGGGGGTCCTGTACACCCTACTCATAAGGAGAAACTTTTAGAACAGTGTCTTTGCAAAGAAGTCTCCCATTTCCTAGTTTGCACTCTGCTCAGGTTGTACCCTGCTCTTGTAAGGAGCCCCAAAGAGCCCACAACCCTCATACTTACAAAGATGAGCAAATTGAAGAGGACCATCATGGTCTTAAGGAAGTTGAAGCACTGCATGGTGGCTCCTAGGAGGCAGACATATGTGAGTTAGTGTCTTCCCCCACTCCCCACAAATTGGGCTGTCCCTGGCATCTGGATCCTGACATGCCAGACCCTAGCACCCTGGACCCATCCATATCTTATCAAGCTTCCTGCACCCAGACTTTGACACCTAAGGGCTCCCCCCAACCCACATCCCAACACCCATATCCTTCTACACTGCCTAAGTCCTCTGCTAGCACCTGACACTCTGAGATTCTAACATTCTAGATTCCTTCACAGGTACCCCAAGTCTGACATCCGAAGTTCAAGTCCCTCTACATCCTTCCCTGGCACCTGTATACCTTGGATCCCTCTCCAAACCAGCCCCAGACTTTTTAGGACCCTCCCTGTAGCCCTTCCAGCACCCAAACCTATTTCTAGGTTGATTTCTCTTTATAGGATAATCCTTATCCTATGCCATCACCTGTTCAGGGATCTCAGCAGCTTGAGTTCTGGATGAGAAATCAGCTGAGGCTTGGGAGGGGACAACAGCTCCAGTAAGCTGCCACTGAGTGGGCAGGCAAAGGGACGGGGCTGGCTCTCATACACCACTGCTCACCTACAGGCGGGGCAGACGCTTTAAAGGGCGCCTTCTGCCCGCCTGCCTGCCCCACCCTCAGTCAGTCCGCCTCCTCTTGCCCCTGCTGCCCCCTGCTGCCTGGAGTTCTGTCCCCACAGCCACAGCCACGGCAGCAGCTAGCCTCCGCCTAGCAATGCCAACCATGGACAACACCAACCATGGACAATGCTTCTGGTCTTTGGAATGGAGGAGGTCTGGGAATGGGGCAAGTGGCCCCCAGAGCTTCTGTGTGCCCTCCACCACAATAGTGAACGTATGCTTATTACCTCTGCTAATATATTCATACATACTCCATGTGCTCATAGGCACACATCTGCCCAAGCTGTCATCCATATATTCACATATCGAATACACAGATACATACTTAAACACCTGCTAGTGTTTGTGAGTATCCAAACACACACACGCTGAACTCTTTGTGGACTGACTCCCAGAAACAGCAGAACAAGTCCCTCTCTCCTCTCTCTCTCTCTCACATACACACACACACACACACACACACACGCAGAACTCTTGGTTTGGCAGCCTTTGCTCCCTCTCCTAGGAGCTCTGATGGTTCAGTGGTTAAGGGATTGAGTTGCTAATCATAAAGGTCAATGGTTCAAACCCACCAGCTGCTCTGTGGGAGAAAGATGAGGCAGTCTGCTTTTGTAAAAGATTTACAGCTTTGGAAACCCTATGAGACAGCTCTACTCTGTCCTATAGGGTCACAATGAGTAGGATGCACCTGATGGCAGTGGGTTTGATTTATGTTCTTTTGAGCTCTGGTAGGATAGTGGCTAAGACACTTGCCTGCTAACCAGATGGCTCACGGTTCAAACCCACCAGCCACTCCTCGGAAGGAAGGTTGGGCAATCCTACTTCCGTAGTGATACTGCCTCGGAAACCCAAGGAGGGGTCACTATGAGTCAGGGCTGACTCGACGGCACATAACAACAACAACAACAAGTAGCAAATACCTTTCAGACCTTACCCCTGCATGAAATCCCAAGTTCCCCATCTTTATCCTCCCTTCACCTGTCTTTCTCTTTCTCCTTCCCTACCCTTTTTTTTCCCCCTCTTTTGAGTCTGTTGAAGGCTGGTTGTTCAAACCCCCAGCCACTCCTTGGAAGGAAGACTGGGCAATCTACTTCTGTAGTGATATTGCCTCAGAAACCCAAGGAGGGGTCGCTCTGAGTCGGGGCCGACTCGACGGCACATAACAACCACCTCTCTCTGGCCACCTTTTCCCTTTCTGCCAGGAGGTGGCACCATGGTCCAACAAAGGAATCATCATCCCCTTGTAAGACTGCAATCTCCATTTCCGTTCATCCTTCCCTGCCTGCCTGTCCCATTTTCTTGCCAACACTCTTGATGTACCGGTACAGGGGAAGTTCCAGCTTTATAGGCATTCAGATCAGGTGTTGGAATCCTAGTTTTGTCATTTATTAGCTGTGAGACCCTTGGGATATTATTTAGACTTGGTTTCAAGTCTCTGTTTCTTGGTCTGTATGATAGAATAGTTAGGGAGGTTTTTTTAAATAAAACTTTTATTGTGATTAGGGTGAAAGTTTACAAAGAAAATTAATTTTTCATAAAGCAGTTCACATACTTTGCCTCATGAAATTGACTGCAATCTCTTACAATGCAATAGCTCTCTTCCCACTTCCTCCCCATAATTACCTCTTCCCTATATCCTCTTCCATGCACTCCTGTCTCCCCCATACACACCTGTCTCCCTGTGCATATGCTGTCCTTCTATTCTCCCATGATTGATCTCTCCAAGGAGTGTATCTACCATGTAAATGTTCAGCTCATATGCCTGTCTTTTGTTTGGCTGGAAGCCACAGGAGTGAGTTCAATTCCAGACCTCAAGGGCAGCTACGGGCCATAGTCTCAGGGGTTCCACCGACTCTATCAGACCAGCAAAACTGGTCCTTTTTTTTTTTTTTTTTTTAATGATTTTGAGTTTTGTTCCATACTGTTCTCCTGCTCTCCTACTCCATCCAGGATCTCCTACACATAGATATCCCTCTGGGTGGTTGACAGTGGTAGCTGGGCACCTACTAGTTCTTCTGATTTCATAGTCATATAGGCTGAGAATTGCATGGTGTACCAGTTCCTTGGACTAATCATTTTCATGTGTCTTTGGTTTTCTTCATTCTTCTTTGCTCTGGACAAGGAGACACCCATTATTGCATCTGGATGGCTACTTGCAAGCTTTCAAAATTGCAGTTGCTACTGCCCGAAGTAGGATGTGGAACAATGTTTTTGTGTAGTATGTTATGTCAATTGAGCTTGATGTCCCCTGAGACCATGGTTATGTCAATTGAGCTTGATGTTCCCTGAGACCATGGTTCCAAGCCCACAGGTCCAACTACTCACTCCCTCTGGGTAGCTGGCTGTGGCCAAGAAGTGACTACAGCCTTGTCCCTTGTCAGCTGTACTATATACCTGGAAATTCTTACAGAGCATACACAGAACAGTTACGGAGTTTTTAAATGAGATTTTCTTCTCGCTCTGGGGCATTATTAAGGGAATAACCACAGACTGAGAAAGTCAGAGAGGAGAGAGTCATAGCCAGAGGAAGTATGGGATGGAGGAAGTGGGGTTTTGTTTTGTTTGTATAATGGGAGGAGGCAGTTGAAGAAATAGGAGAGATGGGCTAATAACACTAATATTTGTTTTAAGTGCGTTATAGATATTTAGTCCTTTTTTTTCCCTCCACACCAATCCTATGAGATAGATTCTCTTTTTATCATTTTAAATATAAAGAAATGGAAACATAGAAAGTTTAAGTAACTTGCCATGATCATACAGCTTGTGACAGAGTCAGGATTCAAACCAAGCCTAGAGTCTTAACCACTGAGCTGACTATCTTCACTGATGGAATCTCTAAGGAATTAGGAGGGGTTAGCTTCCAGAAGGAGCTGAAGAGGAAGCCTCAGTCAGGGACCAAAGGAAGCAGAGGTGCATGGGCAGTTGAGCTTCTAGGCCTGGTGACTGGAGTTGATGGGGGTAAGGTCATTTTCTAATACTCAGGGTGGCAGGAATAAAGGCAAGAGAGTAGAGGATGTGTGTGGTCTGTGTGGGTGGTACTTAGAGCCCCACAGTCTCCCAACAATCTCCTGCAAGGACAGAGAGAAGGCAGAGGCTTGGAAGGGGGCCTTTAAGTGGTGGGAGAGGGAGAAGGACAAGGAGAAGGAGGAGAGGGCACTGAGGTAAGGAGGGGGAAGGGGCAAGTCCAAAGCCTTAGAGCAACTCAGTGCAAAGACAGGCAGAGCCTTTCACTCTCCTTACTCCTACAATAAAGGGTTTGAACCCAAAGTCGGCACCTCTTGCATCCTCAATGGATCTAGGTACCTCCACCTGCATTGATTGTCCACGTGGCTTTCACCTCCATTTCTGGAAGAACTGAGACGAGGTCACATTCATCTATGTTCCTGGTCTCCAGTAAGCATCTTCTAAATGAGTTGATGATTAAGTGCAGAATAACAAGAGTTAAATGTTCCAGGTAGCTGTCCTGAATTTGAACTCCTCCCTGCCTCTGTGTGACTTTACCTCATGCACCTCAGTTTCTTTATATATAAAATAGGGATAATGATGGAACCTCCTTGTAGGGTTGTTGTGAAGTTAAATATTGTAAAGTATTCAGCACAGTGTCTGGCACGTGGTAAGTGATCAATAAATATTGTTAATATTGCTCATGTGGATGAATGAGGAAGTGAAGGAGTGATTTTCCTCCTACTCAGAGCTCCTTTTCCCAAAGGGCCAACATGAAGTCATCCGGCTCTTGGGCTGGCTCTTGGGCTGGACCCCTGGAGAGGAATGGGAGGGAGCTGACCCATGGGGAGGGACTGGGGGCCAAGATCTTTGAGTACCATCCTTATGCAAACTCTCTATGTCATAAAGGTCTCAGCTGTCCTGTCCAGTGGCACCCCTCAGACACACTGTAGCAGCTCCCAATCCCATGGGGCCCTCTCATCCTATCCGTGCCCCTCGGCCCCCGGGCCTGAGTTCTCCCTACCGCAGGCCAGGTGCACGCCGACCAGGGACCCGGTTCCCCAGGATGTTCAAGTGTAGTCGCAGAAGGCACCGGCAAAACCCCCAAAGCCCAGCTGCCACCATTGCAGCCATCAATCTTGGCACCATGGCCGCTGATATCAACACCAACACCCACACTGCCACTACCAGCGTGTGGATCCTCCCACCTCGAGGTTAGTAGAAGGCCCCACCTAGGTGAGGGGTTGGAAAACCAGAGCTGCGGAAATCCCTGCGTAGACCCCTCTAGAGAACAAATCCTGCTAAATACTACCCCAAAGGTATGGTTGGGTCTTGATGGCAGGCATCTCAAAGGCTGAAAGCCTTAATGGAGGATGGAAAGGCTGGAAGCAGAGAGTTTGGGGAGGTGGGTGAATCCGAGGGGCAGTGGAGCTTCCAGTGCTGCAGCCTTCCTCATACCCTTCCCTCTTATTCCTCTTTTCAGTTCTCAGATACCTCTGCCACCCGGGGAGCTTTCTGATCCTCTAGAAATGCCAGAAGCTCAACTTGCTCCAGATCTGCCTTTCCCATGGGCCATAGATGATGAACGGATGAATAAGGCATTTCTGTTCCAACTGCCTTACTCTACTCTGAAGTGTTTTCAGTTGGGTATGCAGGGTGTGAGGGCAAGGTTGGAGCTGAATTCTCCCGGGGAAAGACTTCAGTGATAGCAACAGGATCATAATTAGACAGAAGGACAAGACAAGGTCAGCAGCACACATCATCTATCTTTGGCCTTAGAACTTCATTTGCCCTGTGACATAGGGGGCCCACCTGCCTTGCATTCTCATCTACGCAAGGAGAAGGGTCTCCTTAGACATCAAGTTATAGGAGCCAGCTCCTTAGGGAGGAAAGTGGAGGCACAGATCAAAGTGACAGGACGAAACTCAGACTTCACTGATGCAAGATGTAACCACGTGAGTGTGAGGTGTTTGTCTCTCGGTGTGCCTGTCATGGTCAGTGTGTAGGTGTAGCTGCTGGTGTGTGTGCCCAAGAATGTATGTGTGCATGAGACCACAAGAATAGGACTATAAGCAGACCACCAAAACCAAACCCACTGCCATAGACCCAATTCCAATTCATAGTGACTCTATGTTGTTGTTATGTGCCGTTGAGTAAAACTCCCCCATAGGGTTTTTAAAGGCTGTAAATGTTTATGGAAGCAGATTGCCACATCTTTCTCCCTCTGACCTTCTGGTTAGCAGCTGAGGGCTTTAACCACTGTGCCACCAGGGCTCCTTTAATATAAGCAGACCTATGGCTAAGTATGCCTCTGTAATAAAAAATACCTCTGGGGCTGGCTGCGTGTGCCACAGTGTGTTTGTGAGGGTACTTGGAGAGAGAGGGCAAACCAAACCAAGCCCAACCAAACCAAACTCATTGCTGTTGAGTCTATTCCAACTCTTGCAGTCCAATTCTGATTCATAGCAACCCTGTAGGACAGAGTAGAACTGCCCCCATAGGGTTTCTAAGATTGTAATCTTTACAGAAACAGACTGTTACATCTTTATCCTGTGGAACTGCTGGTGGGTTTGAACTGGTAACCTTCTGATTAGCAGCCAAATGCTTAACCACTGTACCACCAAGGCCCTCAGAGAGGGGGTACAGGCCCTGACAAGAGGAATGAAGGTCAGGAGAGGAATGAGAAACAGCCTGAAGGAGGAGAGAGTGGGAACGGCTGGCCTCTAAGGAGGGAGTACTACTTTCAGACCCCAAAACTCTCTCCAAGATAGGTTACTGTTTTTCAGAACTGGCAGCTGAGCTGGAGCTCTTGGGGGCAGGGCAAGACTGAGGTTGAGCCCAGAAAGGGGGAAGGGTGCTAAGCTCTCAGGCTTGGGGATTTTCCATTTGGATTTCTGAGTGTGTGCCCATGTGTCATCGGGTGTAACTAGGTTTCTATGGAATGTGTTTTCATGAAGTTGTGTCTTAGTGGCTGGGAATATTGTGTGGAATTCTGTTTCTGTGTGGCTTTTTTGCATGGGTTAGTTAGTGTGTGTTCCAATGTCTCAAGATCTGACTGTGGTTCCAGGGCTCCCTTCCCTGAGGGTTGAAGTTGGTAGTAAACCCTGGGACCTTTGGCCTGGCCCTCTGGGGTTCAGGAAGCCTGGTTAATGTCCTTTGCTGCCTGTGAGGGAAAAATGAATTGTGTCTGTGTCCATCCACTTCAAGGCTTGCCAGAGACTAGGACCGAGGGGAGGAAGGGGGGGTGGAGCGAGAGAATTCACTGACACTTCATGGCATCAGTGCTGGGTGGGGGCTATGGCTTCTCAGGGGTAGGGGGCAGATGTGAACCTAAATCACAGTTGCAAGGTGGTGGGGCTGGTGCCCTAGGCCTATAAGAGGGCCCATACACATAAAAACATGACAGTCCACAAACACATGCAGACAGGCATGTAAACATAAGTGGACTCAGACACACAATGCAACAAATATACACACGCATGCACGTATGCACACAGACCCCCACATGGCACATGTAACACCACCATATACATACCTACAAATGTACAGACACATACAAATATGCATGTATCAAAACACATGTACATAAGCATATAGATGCAGCCACATGCAAACACACTCATGCAAACCCAGCACACAGACACACACTCACCAGACTTCCCTGCCCCCTTGGCCCTGAGACCCAGACCCTATATGACTGCATGTGCATACCCATGCCCATGTCTGTGTGTGTTTGTCTGTGTATTTGCGAAGGGAGTGTTGAGCTGTGGGAACCCGATGACATCATCTCTTGTGGCTATTTTTAGATCTATCTGCAATGATGGCTCCTCCACTGCCCCTCCCCCTCTAGGTTTTCAGCTCTCCTCCCCCTCCAGGCTCCCAGAGGCAGCTGCAGCCAGAGGGCACCCACCAACCCAATCCAGGAGACCCCTGGATGGCTGGATACAGTTCACTCTCCCATAGCCTAGAGTCTGAGAACATCTCAGTTCCAGGCCAGAGGACAGGTCTTGGGCAGTGTGGGATTCTGGCCTAGGTGAGCAAACCTAGCTGGTCTCCAGCCTCTAGGACATCTCGGCTTCTGCTTTTCAATTTGAAGCTCTGTCTCAGTCAGTCTCCACTTACTCATTCATTCATTCCACAACTATCGAGTGTCTGCTATGAGCCAAGGGGTATGCTAAACTCTGGAGATACAGCAGTGAACAAGACAGCGGAGTTCGTCGTGAAGTTATGGCTGACGGACATTAAAGAGATAAACCACACTGGCGCTTCATTATATTGTGACCAGGTCTCTGAAAACTTAACAGGGAGCCTAAGTCTGGGATGATTTCCTCAGACTCTTTGTCTGCTCTGCTTTCTTCCCTTAGGTAAAACATAAGCTAAGGAGACCAGAAGGGGGCACACCCCTTTTCCTTGGACTCTTCACCTCAACAACCACACCTCCAGAATTCCTGAGTAGCGATTCCTTCTCACACCCTAGGCTGTGTTTCCAACGCTGCACTAACAACCTACTATTTAAGTGTGCTAACACGGCCCGCTGCTATTCACGTCTCCTGGGAGGCACGCCACTGTGCCCCACCTATAGATGAGAAAATTGAGGCTTGGAGAGGAGCAGTGCTAGCATATGTCTCATAGGGCCTAAGGAGCAACCCAGGTGACAACGGCAGAAGGTGGAGGAGGAAGTAAGCGGTGGAAGCGCTGCACCCTCTAGAACTGCGGCAGAAACACGCGGTGGGGGTTAGGTTTGGAGGCTAGAGGAGGAGGGACGGTGGCCCGAGGGGGCCATGCCAGAAGGAGGGCTTCCCGCTCCAGCCAGCAACCGCCTCGGGCAACCACCGGAAAATCGGGTTTGGCAGCTTCGGCCAAATGGTGGGGCTGGGGGAGGGGTCTGGACAGCTCCCGGAAGGCGGCCTTGGACGGGCCCGCCCTCCAGCCTAGAGTCTGGCCAAACTTCCCGCTTGGAGAAACATTTTATAATACTGGGACCCTTTGGAGTATAGGTGAACAGCTTTGGGCTGAAGGCAGGAGCCCAGAGTTCGAGTCCCCGCTCCGCCCCAGCAGCCAGTGTGATCCTTTAAAATTCCTGGCCATTTTCTTGACCTCAGTGCCCTTTCTAGGGAAGGAACTCCGTCGTCGTCCCCCACCCTGGGGGTTTTCCTGGGCGTCTGACTCAGGCACAGGAACACACAACCAGTGACTAGAGGCCAGACTAGACGCATCCCACCCCTACCCCGGGGCGCCAGGCAGGAGGTTCCTAGTCACCAATGGATCAATTGCCGGAAGTCTAGCTCCAGCCCCACAATGCACCACCACCGGCCACCCCACCCTTAGCGGTACTCCCACCCACGCTCCACTTCCGGGTTCTTTTCCTTCCTCACCTTAGGGGAAGGCTGAACGGTCCCCTAGGGAAACTCCCAAATCTCTGTTTCTGGCACCTTGCCCTCCAATTACCCCTGCATTTTCCTCCCGGTGTCCAGCAGATCCCTCAGTAAACTTTCCCTGGGCCCTGGGGCACGATAGGGAGGAAAGGAAGCTTCTGGAAGGGTTGAGAAGAAAGCAGCTTTTCCTGCTATTCTCGGATACTGGAGTCCAAATGAGGGGTTTATGGGAAGATAGGGTGGGCCTGGAACTGGGCTACCCAGGGCACTATCTCTGCAACAATGGGAGAGGTGGGAATGGTACCCTTCTGTCTAGCCATCTCCTTCCTCAGCCTCCAGAGAACTCAGAGAAGAGAGCCCAGAGCTGAAACTTGAGCCTCTGGAAGACAAACACAAAACCCCAGGCCAAATGAATCCCGACTTGTCATTATGTCAACAACAAAATTAATTAAGCATAATACACAAAATTGTGAAATTTTAGATTCATAGGAATCCACAATTATGTTGTTGTCGTTGTATGTGCCGAGGAATGGGCCACAACTCATAGCAACCCCTCCTTGGATTTCCCAGGCAGTATCACTACGGAAATAGGTTTCCCAGCCTTCCTTCTGAGGAGTGGCTGGTGGGTTTGAACCGCCAGCCTTCTGGTTAGCAGTTCAATGCTTTAGGAACTATGCTACCAGAGCTCCTTCCACAATCATAGAATTCTAGGATAGCAAAATCTGAGTTACAGACTCTTTAGAAATTCAGAATTCTACATTTCTAGAATCACAAGGTTAGAGTATCCTTGAGCTGGAAGTTTTGAGAAGTCAATTAGTGAAACCCCTATCTTCAGGTGG